GAGAATCTAAATTTTGTCTAAAGTTTCGAATGAAACATTTCCCTCAAAACAATTTCCGTCGAAATTTTCGTCAGAACACATTTCCATCGAAATTTTGAACGAAAAACATTCCGTCAAATTTTTTGATTGAATTCTTTTTTCGTTTAAAACATTTGATGGAGGAAATCATTTTCGTCAAAACTTTTGACGGAAACTAAATTTTGATAGAAAATTTACTTTTGTAAAAATTTTCATTAGAGAAAAAATTACGTCGCTTTTTGACTAAAAATTTTTCGACGAAAAAATAATTTTGTGACGAAATTTTTTGTCGTTTGCAATGTAGAAATTTCGACGAAATTTTGTGACGAAACCATGTCAAAAACGGGTCAGGTCAGATTTGACCCACTTCAGAAACCAAGTCAAAACCACTTCAGAAACCAAGTTAGGTCAGATCCAACCCAATTTTGAACTAGTTCAAAAACATCCAAACCAAGTCAGACCTGACTTAGATCGAATTAAAGCGGGTCAGGTCAAAATACCTAATCTATAAAAACCAAGTTGAGTCGAGTCAGCACAAAAATCTGACCAGACCTGACCCATGCACAGCCCACACTATTTCCTTCTAATTCCTTTGATTATTAGGAATGATTGAATGACAATAATTATTTCATAATGATATTATACATTATCATTAAAGTGGAGCCATAGTATTTGACTATTGCTCATCATCGTCACCTTACAATAATATCAATGCCTCCTTAACGTTCTCTTACTGATAAAGAAGAGAAAAGAACTAAATATGATGTTTGGGACACACAAAGTCTCCCTCTCATACTCGGAGATGAATTTTAAAATATTACAGTGTTTTATTATATCTACAGAGCAATTAATTTAGGGAAATTAGTTTGTTATGTTGTAGAAATAACTTCGTCCATAATTTGGTTATGTATTCTGATTTTTTTTTAAAAGGATCCAGTTTCAGATCTTGTCATGTGATATGATAAAAAACGAACCATTAATTTTATTTTATTTTGGATACAAGAGGGAATTGAACACACATCCTAATACAACTTACCCAAATCCCTCACCACTAGACCAATCCTAATAACTTCAAACCCATTAATTTAAACCTGGTTAAATTTGACTTACTGTTAGATTTTTTAATCAATTAATCTTTTTCGTTACTAATTAATTGGTGCACTCTTCCATTATCACAAAATCATCATCGTCTTGCTTATTACCACGGTTAGGTTAGTTTGATTACTTAGTTGACCAAGTTAGTTATAGATATTAATGTAATTTATTAATAAGATTATCTATAATATACATTAATCATGTATTAGGTTTGTATTACATACAATTTATTGTTTAATAAATTTAAAATTTATGGTTTACTTCCTTTTTTCATTTTGACTAAACGTCATATTTCTCAACATGATATCCATGAAATCAACAATAATTCAATGAAGGCGATTTTTTTTTTTTTCTGAATAACAAAATTAAGTAATTAATTAAGTTACTTATTTCCCACGGATTTGTGTGATATAGATATTTATGTCACTCATGACCCATTAAACCATAAAATATGTATTTTGACGTTGATAATCAAACAAACATGTATATATCTTAATCATCTTGCTCTCTACTTTCTTTTTCAATCTTCGTTTTTTTTTTTTTTTTCTAATTCGTTTCGCCTTTTGAATCTTCAAGCCATAAAATAATCCTTCGTGGGATCTCCCATGTCGCAAGCACACATTATTCGTCATCAAACAAAGACTACTGATTTATTTGGATGCATTATTGTCAGATTCGTTATCGCACTGACCTTGATGTATAGTATATTTTTCGGCATTTTATTATATGTTTTTGTTTCATTTTAAAAATGATTTTTTATTCTTAAAGCAAACTTGGTCATATATAGGTTTAATTAAAAAAGAAAATTCAATGTTATCAAAAAAAAAAAAAAAAAAAAATTCATATCTCAAAATTTAACCCCAGTTTTGAGTCAGAATATCAAACTTCCATTCATATTTAACCTTGGAGAAACGTTTAGAATTTGTAGAATTACATTTACTGGAGTAAACGTGATTTGAAATTTATGTTAATACGTTTCAGAATTTAGTGTAAAGTTGATTTTGCTGCTCAATTACAAAATAAATAAATAAATATTTTATTACTTTTTCACGAAGAAAAATCTAGTTAAATATATGTTGAAAAAAATGTTATTTTACTATAATAATATTTACATCATATTAATAATTATTCGTTTAAAAGTAATTTTTATAACAAATATAAATAATATTATTTTTATCAAAATCATTTTTCAAATACAAATCATTATCTATAAACTTACATCTTAAATTAGTGTTGAAAGCGAAAAGGAGTGCTTCTGTGCAGTGACAGCTAGAGATTTCAAGAGAGAATACTTATCAAACTTAAATCATTATGTATAGAGGTTTATTTTACAGAAAAGATTATATTTATAAATTTTTTGTTTACAAACTCTTATAAATTATATTATGTATAATTGGACATATTTCAATCAAGAGTGTATGACTGGTCATACTTAGTGTAATTTGTAAAAAAAATTATAAATGCATCATTTCCCTTATTTGACATTGATAAGGTTCATTACATTATCCAAGGCTGATGGACTGAACATCTAAGTTTTCAGAATAATATCATTTGTCACCTACTTAGCTGGTAAAAACTTTTTACCATTTTTTTTTATTAATGTTTTTCATATTGTAGGAGATAATTTTATCTCTCATACACATATAAAAATGTATGTGACCCATTTATATTTTTTTTCTTCACATAATTCCACGTGAGTCACATCACACACTCTTACCATATGAAGAACATTAATTCAAGAGGGTCAATATAAGTGACCAGAGCTACAACTTTAAAAGTGCCAACCAATTGATGATTGATCATATACCAGAATCTAATCTTTGATCCATATCCTACTTGAAACAATCTTCAATCTCCTACAAATGATAGAGGAACGGTTATCCGCTCCACTATACCGAAAGTGGAGGATAACTGTGTTCATATTTGTGGACCAGTGTTTACAATTCTCATTGCAGAAGATTCCAGTCCAATTTTCTACACATAGCTACATTTGATTCACCAGCGAAGTCCACATCTTGAAGTGAGATTCCTAAAGAAAGTTTCTTACTATTTATTATTTAATTTAGAATTTTAAAATCTTTGGTACATAAAATTTGATTTATTATACGCTTTAGATTTCACAATGTTCACATTAATTAAGATACAAATTGTTAAATTTTGACTGGGCATTTACGATGCACCGACACTTTAAAAAATCCGACATGTCGTGTCCAACACTCTCCGACACTTCAACACGTGTTGCAGAGACTAAAAAAATGGTTCAAAAGTTGCGTTTTTAGTTTCAACTATTAGATTCGTTAGATTATGATTATCATTTTATTAAGTTTAATATAAATATTTGTGATGTCTTATATTTATTTACAAAATTGATATGTATTATAAGTTTAGCTTTATTTTTTGTTAAATTATTAAATATTAAATATAATATACACTACATAAATTAAAAATATTATTTAATATTAAAATATTTTCTAACGTGCTAAAATTTAACATTTTTTAAAATTAACATGTTAGAGTATTGTGTCGTGTCTTATATGAATGTGGGTACCAACCTAGCTTAAGTCCCTGCACAATTTTAATGCAAAGACTTTAATTTCATGCACAATAGTAGATGACTTAGAAATTATTACTTCCACTTACACAGCAACACAGGACGATTATCATTTTTTGTTTATCAATATCTTCTGTAATAATCTTACGTAAACTTTCTTTTGTTATTTTCCCTCTACTCAAAGTAGGTGAGTTTTAGAATAATCTTTGTCATGTTATATCATGATTAAAAATAATAATAAATTAGGTACATTTAATTTAACCTTCCACAAACCCCACACTGATAGAAATATGGTACATTAGCCTACCATTTTTATTTTCTCTCCACAGTATGTTTTCCTGTGAATTATGTAATGTCCCACATCGGTTGGAGAGGGGAACGAAGCATGCCTTATAAGGGTGTGGATACCTCTTCTAGTGTGAGGCCTTTTGTGGGGTGTCCCAAGAAACAAAACCGTGAGCCCGTGGGCAAAGCGGACAATATCACGCTACTGGATTTGAGGCTGTTACATTTGGTATCAGGTCCTCCTGGACCGGTGTGTACAGCGGGTACGCTGTATTCCCAGTGGGGGAGGATGTAATGTCCCACATCGGTTGGAGAGGGGAACGAAGCATGCCTTATAAGAGTGTGGATACCTCTTCTAGTGTGAGGCCTTTTGTGGGATGTCCCAAGAAACAAAACCGTGAGTCGGTGGGCAAAACGGACAATATCATGTTACTGGGCTGTTACAAATTAGTATTTGAAAATGTTGTAAATAACAGTGGAAGAAAAAGACAAGTAACAAGTGCTCATCTTTTTGGCATTTGGTGCCAACAATGGAAAATTGTTGTCTTTTAACATTATTTATCCAATATTTTAGTGACCCTTTCTCACAACTTGCAGGTTGCTGAACCAAAGTAAAGATTTTTTTGTTACATACTCTACATTCTGCAATTTTACCTATCCATTTTCTATGCTCTTCTCAACTTTCTCTTCATCATCATCATCATAAAAAAGTTAATCTTTATCACTCTGCACCCAAAAATTTTCCCGGAAAATAGAACCATTTTGAAAATGCAAGAATCTGAGGAAGAAAATCCTGACCTTCCTCCCAATTCAAAGCCACAGGAGGAACATGGGTTTGCCATGGATTTTGATATTGACCTGGAAAGTTCATGGCCCTTGTAAATAACAGTGGAAGAAAAAGACAAGTAACAAGTGCTCATCTTTTTGGCATTTGGTGCCAACAATGGAAAATTGTTGTCTTTTAACATTATTTATCCAATATTTTAGTGACCCTTTCTCACAACTTGCAGGTTGCTGAACCAAAGTAAAGATTTTTTTGTTACATACTCTACATTCTGCAATTTTACCTATCCATTTTCTATGCTCTTCTCAACTTTCTCTTCATCATCATCATCATAAAAAAGTTAATCTTTATCACTCTGCACCCAAAAATTTTCCCGGAAAATAGAACCATTTTGAAAATGCAAGAATCTGAGGAAGAAAATCCTGACCTTCCTCCCAATTCAAAGCCACAGGAGGAACATGGGTTTGCCATGGATTTTGATATTGACCTGGAAAGTTCATGGCCCTTGAATCATATATCTTTTCTCTCTAACCCCATGTCTCCTATTCTCTTATCCAACATCTCTGAACAACCTTTGTCTCCTCTCTTGGCTTTTTCTGATGTTGAAGATGACAGGCATGTCATGATTGCAGCTTCAGGTTTCTCTTCTCTGATTGCCACAGTTCCTTATTTTGTTGTTTGTATGTTTGGTTTGTTTCAGTTTGGTTGTTGAAATGGAATTTGGAGTTTTTTTTTCTTTCTCAACTTCTTGGTCTTGCTTGATGCACAGTTGACTGTCACTTCAATAGCTGGCACTAAACTTGCTTTAATTGATTGGGAAATTTAAGAGGATTGTAATTTTCTTTGTCTATTTCTTAGCTTAGAGTTTATGTATATTGAAGGAATTTTAACTTCTATTCTTTTTTTATTATTATTTCCCTTACTGTGCTTGAAGCTGTATTTGATTGCTGAAAATTTGATTATAAGGCATAAATGAAATATGGATGGAGTTTTGGACCATTAGTTGCAATTTCCTGTGCATTTTCAAATTGAATGAAGCTAGCTACATGTGTTTCTCCTTTGGGTTGAAAGTTCAATAGCTGAACTTCAAGGCTGCACAGTTTGCACTCATTTCCTTACACCTTTCTTTGCCTTTCAAGCTATATCATATTTACAGGCCAGTGTTTTGTCTATATTTCCTGCTTTCTTGGGATTTTGACTATTGCCATAACTGTAAGCTGTATGGTGTTTGGTGTATTTTTGAACTTGGAAGTTCTAGATATAATATGATGTTGAGCCCAAAGATATTATTACTTATTACCATAACAGTAAAAGTTTTCATAGCCTACTCCAATGCCATCTGATGCTAAACATGAACTTTGTAGTTTTTGCTGGACCTTCAATTCTTCTGACCAGCAGTTAAGTGTTTTCAGGTAATACAAATACAGTAACTGAAAATGCAGTTGAAAATGATGACAACAAAAAAATTGTGTCACCCCTTGTAGCTCTACCACCTTTAGAAACCCCATATGGTTATTGTCTAATCAAGGAAAGAATGACACAAGCACTTCGCTACTTCAAAGAGTTGACTGACCAAAATGTTCTGGCTCAGATTTGGGCACCTGTGAGGAATGGGAATAGGTATGCACTTACAACTTCAGGACAACCATTTGTTCTTGATCCACATAGTAATGGACTACATCAGTATCGAACGGTTTCCTTGTTGTATATGTTTTCTGTGGATGGGGAGAATAATGAAATACTGGGACTTCCTGGTCGGGTTTTCCAGCAGAAAATACCAGAATGGACACCCAATGTTCAGTATTATTCTAGTAAAGAGTATCCACGCCTAAATCATGCTCAACATTACAATGTTCGTGGAAGCTTGGCTCTGCCTGTGTTTGAACCTCCAGGGAAGTCATGTGTTGCAGTACTGGAGTTGATAATGACTTCACAGAAGATTAACTATGCTCCTGAGGTTGATAAAGTCTGCAAAGCCCTTGAGGTTGGGTTTCTTTTGAGCTGTACTATTTATTATAAGCTGCATGCTTTTGTTATGTTTGGTGAGTGCCATGTGATGGTTTATAATATTATTAATATATCCTTAAAGATTAAAAGCACTTCCATTGAATCTCAACTTGTGAGGATAGGGACGAGGGTTGCCCCCCATTGCGAATCCTAGTTGTAATAGTACACAGTTTTACCCTTGCATTTTTTGCAAATGGGTTGTTTTCTATATTCAAACCCATGATCTCTGTCACAAAGTTAATTGATTACAAACATTGATTTTGAAAAAGTTAATTGCCATGAGATTATTTGACTCTTATTACTAACATGTCAAATAATGTGTATGATTACAAACATTTTTAGTTTCCTGAGTCACCTGCTGTCAGTTTCCTTGCAGGCAGTTAATTTAAGGAGTTCAGAAATTTTGGAGCATCCATACATTCAGGTGATTTTTTTACTATCATGCATGATGCATCCCTATCTTGTTTATTTTCTTAAAGATAAGATATTTCTGTTCTGTGACTTCTATCTTACCCCTTTATTGTCACAGATATAATTTGGCAATTCTTTTAAACCAGATTTGCAATGAAGGCCGCCAGAAAGCTTTTGCAGAGATTTTGGAGATATTTACAGTCATGTGTGAAACTCATAATTTACCATTGGCACAAACATGGGTTCCCTGTAGGCATAGGAGTGTTTTGACCCATGGTGGTGGTCTTAAGAAAAGTTGCTCTAGTTTTGATGGTTGTTGCATGGGGCAAGTTTGCATGTCTACAACTGAGGTAGCTTTCTATGTCATAGATGCTCACACATGGGGGTTCCATGAGGCTTGTATTGAGCATCACTTACAACAAGGTCAAGGGGTTGCTGGGAGGGCATTTTTGTCCCACAACATGTGCTTCTGTGGAAACATTACCCAATTTTCCAAAACTGATTATCCCTTAGTACATTATGCTCTTATGTTTGGGTTAACCAGCTGTTTTGCAATCTGTTTACAAAGTTCTCATACTGGAAATGATGATTATGTATTAGAGTTTTTTTTGCCTCCTATGATCACAAACTTTTATGAACAAAAAACTTTGTTGGGATCCATATTGGCAACAATGAAGCAACATTTCCAGAGTCTTAAGATTGCTGGTGGTGGTGAACTTGATGAGAATGGTTCAATTGAAATTATAGAAGCAATAAATGGAAGAGTTCATTTGAGGCTTGAATGTATTCCAATTACTCCATCTGCTAAATCACCACCTAGACCTGATGCCTCACCAAATATGGGGGTGGGGGTGCCACTAGGTACATTAGAACAGCAAATAATGACATACTTTGATGACATAAATGATGGTGGAAATCTTGGTCAAAATGCAGGTGGAAGCATTGATAAGATCTCTTCCTTAGAGACCAAAATAAAAAAGAAACCCTCAGAAAGAAAACGTGCAAAAGCTGAGAAATCAATTAGTCTTGAAGTTTTGCAAAGTTATTTCACTGGGAGTCTTAAGGAAGCCGCGAAGAGCCTTGGTGGTATGTTCATTTTCTGATTTAACAGTTACAACTTACAAGCAATAGTTTGTTTTATAATCTCTATGAAGGTGCAGTTTTCTCTACAACAATTAGCAATATTTCTGCTCTTATTATATCTAAATTTGCTGCTTTCTGGAAACATGTATTTAGCAAACAATATAGTAATAATCCAAAACACAAAAATGGTTATTGTTTATTACTAGTAGATTTTATTTATTTTATTTTGTAAAATGGGAAAAATGTAGCTACTCAAAGATGTTGTTCATGGATATATTCTTGCTGTACAGTTTGCCCTACTACAATGAAGCGCATCTGTAGGCAGCATGCGATACCCCGTTGGCCATCTCGAAAGATCAAAAAGGTTAACCGTTCACTGTCCAAGCTCAAGTGTGTTATGGAATCAGTCCATGGTGCTGAAGGAGCATTTGATTTGAATTCTGTAAGTACAAGTTCACTTCACATTGCTGCTGGTTCCTTTACTGAGCCTTCTACTTCAAACAAGTTCAACCACCAAGCCTCATTAAGCATTAGGCCATCAGAACCTAAGATGAATGAAAATGATTTGGATGCCTCTAGAGTTTCAGAAACAAACAGACAGATTGGTATGAAAGATCAATTACTAGGAGCAAGGACACAAAGTCCTGAGAAGGTGATTAATGACAAAGGTGGGTTCACTCAGGAGGTTGGCACTAACAGGTTTAGAATTGGGAGTGGCTCAAATGAAGGCTGTGGACATGCAAATCCTACTCCTCATGGTTCATGCCATGGTACTCCCCCAAATGAAAGTTCCCCTGCAAAAGATGTATTTATAACATGCAACAGTAAGCAATGTCTTGTGTTAGAGTCAACAGTTCAGTTAACTGGTACACTGAACTGTGCAACTGCATACCCTATGCCTAATGTTGTGACAACAGAACCCCAAGAACCATTTGGAGGAATGCTAACTGAGGATGCAGGTAGTTCTAAAGACTTGAGAAATCTGTGTCCTCCTGCAGATGCTGTTTTGAAGGATCAGGTTCTAAAAGCTTGTGGGATTAATCCTCCATGTTCTGATTTGGCTTCTATGCAATGCAAAAATACTCTTAATAACACTTTGACACCTTTTGTAGCTGGGAAAGAGATGAAGCCTGTGACTATTAAGGCAACATATAAAGAAGATATTGTAAGGTTCAGGGTCTCTTTGAACTGTGGCATTGTGGAATTGAGAGAAGAAATTGCCAAAAGATTGAAGCTAGAGGTGGGTACATTTTATATCAAGTATATGGATGATGATCATGAATGGGTTTCGATAGCCTGTGATGCAGACCTGCAGGAGTGCATGGACATTTTAGGATCATTAGGCAGCAACATAATCAGGCTTGTGGTGCATGATACAGTGTCCATTCTTGGAAGCTCATGTGAGAGCTCAGGGGGGAGTGAGTAGAGGTTATATGTAGTTTACTTTGTACTCAATCATTCAGATCCTTGTAGTAATTCTTCTCGCAGTAGTAGGATGATAGGTTAAAAAACAAAATAAAAATTATGGTTTCATATTGGCTCAAATTGCAATAAACTTACCATTAAATGTAAAGGACTACCACTTTGTAAAATTATTGCTTGGATTCTTTCTTCCTTTTTTCTTTAGTGGTACTTAAGAGTTGCCACTTGAACATAAATTGTATTGTTTATGACATTAAAAAATGTCCAGAGTACATGTTGGATGAAGGGAAATTTATTTCGTTGCAAAAATATACGATCTTGCATCATCAATATCAACAATATTATTGTGCTTTTCCAGAGTGTTACTGTGCTTTAAAATAAAAAAATTCAGCATTTTCAAATAATTCAAAGGGGATGGCATTGAACTAAAAGTAACAAACCAAAAATCAGAACAAAAGTAAAGACATTAAAATTAATAGGACAAGTTTTGATTTCACTAGATTGTTCTGTTCAATGATATTAACCAAATTAATAAGGATAATCTCTCCAATGTCTATAAAGATAGAAATGGACACAAATTTTACCTCTCCACAAATCCATTTTATGTCCCTCTAATTTGACGTTACCGTCTAAAAACTGCAAGTGGAGATAGAGGAACAATTTACATTTCCTTTTCTAGAATTACATAAAAAGCAACTAAACTCTGAAAAGTATCTGTCAACAGAAAAGTTCACATGCGCCAGATGCTAAGATGGTTGATGTAAATTCAAGGCACAAAACTAAGACAAAAATGATGCAGTGTGATTTCTTCATTATATAGAAAGCAAGTGACAGCCCCTGTGAATCTTCTTGTTAAAATTTATACCCAAATTAACCTAGTTTGCAACAGTCCCAACACTGCTACTCAGACCTATTTTGTCTTGAATCCTTATAAACCATGCGTTTACCAAAGCAACTTTGTATTCTCTAACATCAGAAGCTAATGATTAGCCGTCCAACCAAATCTACAGCAAATAAAACTGTGAATGGAGATATTCACGAATTTTATAGTAATCATCACACAGAGGACCTTCAATAACAACTTGCTGAGTACCAGAACCACCACCCTAATAAAAAAAAAAGTAATCATAATAGATTAGAATCTTGATTGAAAGACTGGACAATCTCAGCTGTATTCGAAAATGATTAATTTTCCTAAAAATGTGCAAAATTAACAAACGTAAAGAAGAAGCACTTGAAGCCACTAGGATTGATCTAGTGGTGAAGGGTTTAGGTAGTTTGCATGAGGTCATAGGTTAAAACTTCAGTGCCACCATTTGTATCAAAAAAAAAAAAAAAAGAAAGAAAAAAAGAAGCACTTGCCTTCTGAGTTGCATCCCCAACCTTCCGAAGAGTTACATATTCACCACATCGCAAAGCCCCAGCAGCAAATTCCACCTATAAAGGTTATCATGTCATGATAAAGGTTAGAAAATTAGAGAGCAAATTGATAAGGTCAAAAAACACCCCAACAACACACACACATAAATACCTGAACACCCTTGCTGGAAAGGAACTGCTTGAAATCTGCCAATTTTAAATCACCAACAAGAACAGATTTATGCGGAGGAGCTGCTGCAGAAACGGGGAGCAGCGAAAGCATGTCATTTTCTGTCTTCCCTACTTCAGCATCAACCCAAGATATTTCATAATCTCCCATCTGCAGTTGAGTTTATGTTTCATTATTCAACAAGATGAATTTCCAACCCAGTAGGAAAAGACTTGGTTGTTATTGTTGTTATTCAATATGATGAAGGGCAGACAAGTATATGAATTGAAGAAGTTCAGACATATCTATTATTTACCTTTTTGAATAGTACATTGCTCATTAGCTTCTCAGATAGTTGAACCTACACCCCAAAAAACATGACAAGATTAATTTTGACATCTTGGGAAGCTGTTTCCGTAAATGTACAAAATTTCACATCATTGTACCTTATAAGCACATAAATCAGAGGTAACATCAATCGTCTCTTCAATCTGTGGAGCATAGACGTGAGGACAAACATGCTTCAGGCAGTGTTGCTTCAGATGCTCTGTAGCTTCAGCTGACCCATGCACCAAAACCTTCCAGAAAAATCATTAAGCATTCATCATCACGTATGATACAAAAACGAGAAAGTAAATGATATTATGATAATATTATAAGTTGTTCCTCAAACTGAGATAAAAAATCAGAGTAAGCTTGAGCACAATACCTAAATACCGTGAAGCAGTTAAAAAAAATACATGGACAGATTGCATATATTAGTTATATGCCATATGTATGTCAAATGATTTGGCATATGTCACCTGATTTACAATTCCCTTATACCTAGTTCAGCCTGTGATAGGTTAGGATAAATTCATTTCAGTTCAGTAGGCTGTAAGCAATTAGTCCGAGGGATTAAGCAGTCCCTTTGTTCTCCACTGTTTTTCTCATGTGGTTTTTCTCATTTCAATTTTTAAGGCCCAAGGAAAACTTGACCTGACAATAAATTTTCAAAACCCTATTTCATAATTCTCCAGACTTGCCTAAAGTGTTCAACTTCAAATTAAGAAATTACTTTAGATAGATACAATACCCTACTTACAACAGCCTTCAGTTTCTTCAGATTCCCAATCAACACAAACCTATATTATCCATGTAAGCCTACAATTTACTTATTTCCAGCTCCTTTATCTAACATAACCGTAACCCCGCTAAAATCCTATTTTCTTGCTGCCACTCAAAATGGCAGCCAGAGGGTCAATGTATTGCTTTGCTTAAAAGAATTGTATGTTACTAAAAACTTAAAATAAGTTATTTCCAATATCACATGGTTTTTAATATCAGCAAGATATGACTAGCTGAGAGAGACAGTTCCATTCCCAAAATAATGAACTGCCCTCATATAAGTTACAGAAGATTTAGTGATGTACTTCAGTTAATTAAAAAGCAGCAAAGAGATTCATACCAGCTTCAGGGGAGCCACATGAGAGAGAATATTTTTAATGGATCTTCCATCTGAACGGCCTTCGAAGTCCATGTAAACCAACGAACACCGTACTTGCACCTGGACAAATATAATGTCAACCGTGTCAAATGTAGATTTGGCAGATTTAAGATCCATACAACTATAGTATTGTAAACACTAGAAATATTATTGTAAAAAAAAAACAAAAATCACTCCTCATTAAACCCGACTAGCGAGTGTCGGGTGGAAGTAATCCTTGTACGCAGCCTTACCCTTACATAATTGCAAAGAGACTATTTCCTGAATTCGAACCCATAACCTTTAAGTCATTAAAGAACAGCTTTACCACTGCTCCGGTTCGCCCCCCTATTCGCCCCCCTTTTACTAGAATTATTATTGTAAACATTAGAATTATTTATTTGATTATTATTTGCTTATTTGGGCTTGCCCATTAGGTCTTTTGATCTCTTTAAATAGAGGATTCTTGTACAGTTATACATACAATTCAATAATATACAAGTCTTTCTTCCAATTTAGTATCAGAGCCTCGGTGTCACGGGTTCGATCCTCACTGCCCCTCATTTAATTAATTAATTAAGTCTTGTGGAGTTTCTTAGCATAGGTAGGTGGGCTTGTGCATTGTCCACCCTTCAAGCCCAATGCGCTCTCGTGTGAGGGGGCATGTTAAAGGTATATGTAAAGAACCAATTCAACCCAAAAGCTTAAGCTAGTGGGTGAGGGCTTTTTAATGGTTTATACTATTCTCTAACACATCCCCTCACACGAAAGCTCATTGTGCATGAAGAGTGGATAATGCATCAGGCCCAACCTACCTGTGCTAAGAAATTCCACAAGAGAAACTGGGGGCGGTGAGGATCAAACCCGGGATACGAAGCTCTAATACCATGTAAAGAACCAAATTCAACCTGTTGAGATATATAAAAACCATTAATGTAGCCTCACCCAATAGCTTAAACTTTTGTGTTGAATTGGTTCTTTAGATGGTATCAAAGTCTCGGTGTACCGGGTTCGATCCTCACCGCCCCCCACTTTCTTTCTAGTGGAATTTCTTTCTTCGCACAGGTAGGTGGGCTTGTGCATCGTCCACTCTTCAAGCCCAATGGGCTCTCGTGTGAGGGGGGTGTTGAGATATATAAAAACCATTAATATAGCCTCACCCAATAGCTTAAACTTTTGGGTTGAATTGGTTCTTTACAAACTCAAATGCTTAAGCTAGTGGGTGAGAGCTTTTTAATGGTTTATATTATTCTCTAACATCTCTCAATAAGTCCTCTGGTACCGGTGCTTTAGCTATGACTGGTAAGAACTCATGCACTCATTCTCTTATTGCTTCTTGCACTGATTTCAAAACTTCATAGATTGTGGATTCTGGTATCGTATGACTTGCTGCACTGACCCCTATCTCTCTTATAATCCTATTGTTGGTATCCGTACTATAGTTGCAGCTGATGGACCACACACATCAGTTGCAGGTTCTAGTAACATTAAAATCCAACCCTCCTTGTGTCTCGATAATGCTCTTCATGTTCCCCAACTTTCTACCGATCTCCTTTCTACTCATAAGTTGACTACAAATTTGAATTGCACTGTAACCTTTTTCCCTACTCATTGTGTTTTTCAGGATCTCACCACGGGGAAAACGATCAGAGTTGCTAAAGAGCAGAGTGGGCTGTATTGTCTGGTTTCAAAATATGCTGCAGAAGGTACTAGGGATCAGATTTTGATGACTCGTCAGTCTACTTCAAATTCTCTTATTTGGCTTCATCACAAGCGTCTGGATCATCCTCCTTTTAGTTTACTTAAGTATATGTTTCCGTCTTTATTTTTGTCACAGTCTGTTCATTCTTTTCATTGTGATGTTTGTCAGTTTGCAAAACATCATCACGTGTCTTTTCCTTCTAATGAAATAAAAAGTGTTGAACCTTTTATTATTATTCATTCTGATGTTTGGAGGCCTTCCCAGGTCCCTAATGTTTCTGGTGCTAAGTGGTTTGTCTCTTTTATTGAT